GATTTGGGCACATAACGTGTGATAACGATCAGGGCAGTCCATGACCTCGAAAATCATCTCGAGGCCCTGAACCCATTCATCTACTATACGAGGATCTCCTTGGCCGGAAAACTTTTCTGGCTGATAGTCGCGAAACTGTGCGAATACTGTGGCCTGAGGACGTTCCGGGTGATTTGTTTCTCTACGAGGAGGCCTCTGAACATTGAAATATTTAACATGATTAATTAACATAAAAGATTAACTAACTGACTATTTAAGTACCCAAATTTCTTGACGAGTCGCTAAATAATCCGAGAATACTAAAGTCAAACTATCAATGACTGAGACAATTGACTAGGTTCTGAAAATACTCGAGCATCTTACTGGTTTCTAGGATCAAATATCTGATACCCTCTTACTCAGCATAGACTTAAGTATTTGTTTAAATATATAAACTGTAACTCAGCACCGGCGAGGCGTGAGCGTAGCGTGGTCGGGTCTTTTCTGAAATTTTCTGACTTTAAAAGTATTCAGATACATGAAAATGTGCTCTGATACCAATTTGAAACACCCCACTAGCTTACTAAAATCAGAGTGCGATTTTCGCAAATTCTTTTCTAAAGTTTACGGTTTAGTTTGCGAACATATCTCGGGATGCTACACAAAATATTTCTTTTCTAAAAATCCGTTAACTTTATCAATTTTAAACCCATTTAAGAAAAACGGATTATCTTTTATAAAACAAGCGTGTGATACTGTATAAAATCTGACCCGAAGGCTCGGATCGTCGTCTGAAAATTTACACGCTAGTTTGAAAGTCTGAAAACATCAGCGGAAGTAAAAACGTGGCAAATATGTACATATCAACAGTCTGCAAAAATATATACATAATTACATGGACTGGACCGGCGACCACCAGCTCTGCTCACTCCTCCAGACCGACTCTGTCACCTGAAAAAGGTCATAATAGTGGGAGCGTGAGTACTAAGATCACTGTACTCCGCAGAAACTCATACTAAAGTAAACATTAATAATAATATCAATATCATGACTGCAGGTATATATAAGCAAAACTGTAATCTCCAGACACAAGGTCTGTAATTGAACTGAACCTCCTCGGACACTATGTCCGTCCATGTGCACATTCCGATGGACTATTAAGGCTACTGCGCCTCCACCGGAACTCGGGATGGCCTATTAAGGCTACTGCGCCTCCACCCAGAGTGGAATAACTCATATACATACCTTAAAACATGATAGAGCAATTATAACCAATGTAATACCCAGTCTGAGTTCCCACCTGAACTGATAATGTAAGTGCTGCTGCTGATCACTCTGTAAAAATATATAAATAAGCAAATACTAAGTACTACGCTCAGACTGACTGAAAATAACTGTTAAGATGCTTGACTCGATCTAAATATTTAACTGGAATATTCTCGGGGCTTAACTTGACCGATAAGAAAAACGGACTTAATGATACTGATAAACTAGACTGCCTGGACTGAAAAATTAACTGAAATACTGTACTGGACTTGGACCGGATCAGTAATTACTGAACAGCTCCAAATCCAGTCTAAACCAACCGGTTCATTTGCTGGCCGGACCGCCGGCTCGCTGCGGCTAGGTGGTCGGCTGCTGGCTGACCACCGGCTCGGTCACTCG